AGATGAACGTCATTAAGAGCGAGAAGGAGGTGAAGGCGCTGAAGAACCTGCTGTACTCCTGCAAACGTGCGGTGTAGGGAGAGAAACGACGGTGACTTGCCGAGAAGTGTTGGAGCGGGCATCTTACTAATAGCGGAGCGTTCCTCCCCTTTTTTTTAAAGGCAATAATTAGCATTGGGTGGTGTAGGGACGGAGGTCCGCGCGCTGTTTCGTTTTTGGATCGCTGGAGACATTTTCCATGTAGGGATTACTGTGTGCGGAGTTGTAGGAACAGTAGTAAAGAAGGATATCTGCTCTGCTTGAGACATTGCGGGCGTGTGGCAGGGCGCGGGCGCGGGTGCAAGAGCGGGCTGTGCGCTGAGTTTCCCGGTGTCGCGTGGGTGACCCTTCTTTTCTCGTTCTTTCGTCTGCAGAGTGATCGCTAGGTAGGAATGCGCCGTTTTGTTTCCAAGTTTGCCGCGGCTTTGCCGGCCCGCCTCGCCTCCACGGCCCCCCCGGCGGGAGGCGCGAAGGCCCCAGCCGCCGCCGCCGCCGCCGCCGCTTCAGCTGCCGCGGGGCAGAAGTCGTTCTTCAAGGCGACGGAGATGATTGGCTACGTGCACTCCATCGACGGCACCATCGCCACGCTCATACCGGCGCCCGGCAACCCGGGAGTGGCCTACAACACCATCATCCAGATCCAGGTGAACCCGACGACGTTCGCCGCGGGCCTGGTGTTCAACCTGGAGAAGGACGGCCGCATCGGCATTATTTTGATGGACAACATCACGGAGGTGCAGTCTGGGCAGAAGGTGATGGCGACGGGGCAGCTGCTGCACATCCCCGTGGGCGCGGGCGTGCTGGGCAAGGTGGTGAACCCGCTTGGCCACGAGGTCCCCGTCGGCCTCTTCACCCGCAGCCGCGGCCTGCTGGAGCAGACGGTCGGGAAGGTGGACGCCGGCGCCCCGAACATCGTGTCGCGGTCCCCCGTGAACTACAACCTGCTCACCGGCTTCAAGGCGGTGGACACCATGATTCCCATCGGCCGTGGCCAGCGCGAGCTGATTGTGGGCGACCGCCAGACGGGCAAGACGTCCATTGCCGTGTCGACGATCATCAACCAGGTGCGCGTCAACCAGCAGATCCTTTCGAAGAACGCAGTCATCTCCATCTACGTGTCGATTGGCCAGCGCTGCTCCAACGTCGCGCGCATTCACCGCCTCCTCCAGTCGTACGGCGCGCTGAAGTACACGACCGTCATGGCCGCCACCGCCGCCGAGCCCGCCGGCCTGCAGTACCTCGCGCCGTACGCCGGCGTGACGATGGGCGAGTACTTCATGAACCGTGGGCGCCACTGCCTGTGCGTGTACGACGATCTTTCCAAGCAGGCCGTCGCGTACCGTCAGATTTCGCTGCTGCTGCGCCGCCCGCCCGGGCGTGAGGCGTACCCCGGCGACGTCTTTTACCTCCACTCGCGTCTGCTGGAGCGCGCCGCCATGCTTTCGCCCGGGAAGGGCGGCGGCTCCGTGACGGCCCTCCCCATCGTGGAGACGCTCTCCAACGACGTGACGGCGTATATCGTGACGAACGTGATTTCCATCACCGACGGGCAGATCTACCTTGACACGAAGCTGTTCACCGGCGGCCAGCGGCCCGCGGTGAACATTGGCCTCTCCGTCTCGCGTGTGGGCTCGTCCGCGCAGAACGTGGCGATGAAGGGCGTTGCCGGCAAGCTGAAGGGCATCCTCGCCGAGTACCGCAAGCTGGCCGCCGACTCGGTGGGCGGGCAGCAGGTGCAGACGATTCCCATGATCCGCGGAGCGCGCTTCGTTGCGCTGTTCAACCAGAAGCAGCCGTCGTACTTTATGAGCGCCGTCGTCTCGCTCTACGCGTGTCTGAACGGGTACCTGGACGACGTGAAGGTGCACTACGTGAAGTTTTACGAGTACCTGCTGGTGCACAAGGACCTGGGCATCATGTACGGTGCGGCGAAGAACAAGTTCTTCTACATGTACGTGCAGGAGCTGAACTACCTGATCCGCTTCTTCACGCTGAACAGCCCAGTTCTGAATGGCGAGCTCGAGGAGATGCTGAAGGAGCACACACAGCTGTTCCTGCAGCACTATCAGTCAAAGATGAACGTCATTAAGAGCGAGAAGGAGGTGAAGGCGCTGAAGAACCTGCTGTACTCCTGCAAACGTGCGGTGTAGGGAGAGAAACGACGGTGACTTGCCGAGAAGTGTTGGAGCGGGCATCTTACTAATAGCGGAGCGTTCCTCCCCTTTTTTTTAAGGCAATAATTAGCATTGGGTGGTGTAGGGACGGAGGTCCGCGCGCTGTTTCGTTTTTGGATCGCTGGAGACATTTTCCATGTAGGGATTACTGTGTGCGGAGTTGTAGGAACAGTAGTAAAGAAGGATATCTGCTCTGCTTGAGACATTGCGGGCGTGTGGCAGGGCGCGGGCGCGGGTGCAAGAGCGGGCTGTGCGCTGAGTTTCCCGGTGGCGCGTGGGTGACCCTTCTTTTCTCGTTCTTTCGTCT